GTCCCTGAGTAACGATTCTGTGTCCCTGAGTAACAATTCTGTGTCCCTGAGTAACGATTCTGTGTCCCTGAGTAACAATTCTGTGTCCCTGAGTAACGATTCTGTGTCCCTGAGTAACGATTCTGTGTCCCTCAGTAACCATTCTGTGTCCCTGAGTAACAATTCTGTGTCCCTGAGTAACGATTCTGTGTCCCTGAGTAACAATTCTGTGTCCCTGAGTAACGATTCTGTGTCCCTGAGTAACAATTCTGTGTCTGTCCCTGAGTAACGATTCTGTGTCCCTGAGTAACAATTCTGTGTCCCTGAGTAACGATTCTGTGTCCCTGAGTAACGATTCTGTGTCCCTCAGTAACCATTCTGTGGCCCTAAAGTCTCTGTGGCCCTAACTCTGTCCCTAATACAGATAGGTCTGTCTCTCTTGAATGACCGGAGGCTAATGGAGAATTCTAAGATGGCCGCGATTCATAGCTCCACCATTACACAGTGCTGGCTGGCTGGCTGCTGATTGGCTAATGCGATCACATGTCATGAATGAATGCATTATGGGTCAGCGCGCCTTGTCTGCGCGCCTTCCCAGAGATCCCTGCTCCGTCGCCACACATGTCGCTGCCATTTTTGGGAAAATTCGATTCGTGTGCATCCGAAGTTTGCTAATTTTCGGATTCGGCGCGAATCGAATTTTTCCTAATCTTCGAAACGAATTCCACTTCGTCATGTTCGATTCGCTCATCTCTAAATATAATCTAATCTTGAATATGAGCCATGAGCTTGGGAGAAGGTGTAATCTCTTTCTCTAGGATGATTTATCCTCCACACATCTACCAACTGGTATCTATACAATATCCTCTTCAATGATTTGAGACTCCTCTCTCCTTCCCTCCTCCCCCCGGATGAAACATCACATCTAGGATCCAAACACATATTAAATCCCCCCCACCACCAGACTCCCCCTTTTAAACTCCATAAGTTTCCTTATGGTCCCTTCCAGGAATCCCGCTGAGTTTTTATTTGGGCAAGATATGTTAGCCAGTGTATATTCCTTTCCTTGCAGTTTTCCCCTGATAAACAAAAACCGACCTTCCAAGTCTTCCATTCTATCCTCCAGTTAGAAGTCAATTTTTGCTGAAAGACCAATTGCTACCCCTTTTGTTACCTTTTACAGGTGAATCTGCATATATCCAAGTTTGATAATACTTTGAATATAGTTTCACATTACTATTTCTGGATAGATGGGTCTCTTGGAAAAAAAACAATATCTATCAAATATTGTTGTACTTCCCTGAGTATCTTATGTCTTTTTCCAGGTGAATTTAGCCCTTTCACGTTATAGGTCATAAACCTAATATCAATCATATTCTCTGATGTTATTTTGACCTGTTCCCTTCCACTCGTTTCCACTTGGATACAGATAGCTTCTACCAAACCCCATCCTTACCCCTTCCCCCCCTCTCCCCCCTCCCTCTTCCCACCCTGGCTTACATTAAGCCTAATAATTTGACTAGAAAGATCCTCCCTAGTAATTCCTTGATTGGGGTGAAACTCACTACATGACCACCTCCTTTTCATCTGTACTGATGTAATCTCTATCAAATAATCTTGTGCTGAGCCTACCGGAAATGCCAACCCGCTCTAACCCTCCTCTACCCCCTTGATCTTCTGTCTAAGGGGATATCAACCAATGATGGACTCCAAGGTTCTGATGCGACCCATTTGGGCCACAGGACAGAGAGGGGGGGAAAAAAACATTTAATCTCTATCCCGTGACCCCACCCCCCTGTGCTCATCTTCTATAATCTACCTCCTATCTAATTGTTGCCGTCTACCTGGGACCCGGGTGTTCCTTTCTCTAGCCCCCTCAAACCATCCCTCTATATTCACTTTCTGTAAATCTAATTTTTCACAAAAGTCATTATATTCTTCTGGGAATCTCAGTCTTGCCGATCTTCCATCTTTCCACCCCACTAAGCAAGAAGGAAAACCCCAATTATATCTGACTTTTTTTCTCTCATGTGGTCTAGAAGTGGTTTCAGAGCTCTCCTTCTCTCGCCAATGTCTCTGGGGAAATTTCAGCAAAGATTTGTATAACAGAGTCTTTAAATTTTTTTCAGAAAAGTCCCGCAACCCTTTCCATATCTGGTCCCGATCTCCAATATCCTGTAATCTAGCTATCACGTCTCTGGGACTTTCTGCTGATATACCCTTTGGCCTTCTGACCCTATATACTCTGTCCATTTTTAAGCAATCTGTCTCTGGTCTTCCCATGATTGGATTGCAGATTCTTTTCATTTTCCCCATTAAGTCTTCCTCTTGTCCTTTTTCCTCCGGAATGCTTCTAAACCTCAGGTTATTCCTTCTACTGTGGTTCTCCTGATCTTCCATTTTAAAAAATAATTCTCTCATTTCTAGTCGCCTCTCTTCTATTTGCCTTTCTAATTTCTCAATTCATAATGTATGTTTCTCTACTTTTTTCTCCGACTCCTCCAATCGAGACAGAACATGACCCAGATCGCTTCGAAGGTTTCCAATCTCCTACTTTACAACCGTTTCCAATTTTGTAAAAATTTCTACCAAGTCCTTTTTTAAAAGGATATGTACTGGAGGCCCTTCCTGTTCCACTTTTCTTTGTGCCCCTCTACTTTCAAAAGTTGGACTTCCTTTTTCTTGGGCTTCCTCCATATTACCAAGTGACAATCTGGATTGTTCACCCCTAGAATTAATAGTGCATTCGCCCTGATTCTCTTGGTTTTTGCGGTTCTAGACTTTTTTCCCCTTGTGTCGGCATGTATTTTATTATCGTGAGGAGGTTTGCGCTTGCCTGGTGTTTTAGGGCCACCGCCTTTAGTAGGTTTACTTCTTATTTTCCTTGGGAGAATCCCGTTTGCAGGCTTATCTGTTATATATAACTATACGAGTCTGCTGTATAGTGCTTGACATGAATCGACTGTATAGAACTTGATACAGGTCTGCTGTTTAAGATTTAATATAGTTCAGAGCTTAGTGCGGGTCTGCTGTATAGTACTTGACAACAGTCAGATGTATAGAACTTTAGTGCAAATCTACTGTTTAAGATTTAGATTTGGTATGAGCCTGCTGTTTGGAGCTTGGCACGGGTCCGCTGTGTATAAAATTTAATATAGGTCTGCAGTTCAGAGCTTGGTTCAGGTCTGCTGTATAGTGCTTGACAAGAGTCAGATGTATAGAACTTGGTGCAAGTCTGCTGTTTAAGATATAGGTTTGACATGGGTCTACTGTTTGGAGCTTGGCACAAGTCTGCTGTGTAGTGCTTGACATGAGTCAGCTGTATAGAACTTAGTACGGGTCTGCTGTATATTGCTGACAATAGTCCTCTGTATAGAACTTGCAGCAGCTCTGCTGTATAAGACTTGGAATGAGTCTGCTGTTTTAAAGTTTGGTGCAGGTCTGTTATTTAAGGTTTGGTGTGCGTCTACTATATCAGACTTAGTGTAGGTCTACTGTATAATATTTAGTCTGGATCTGCAGCATAATACCTGACGTGATTTACTCATCACATGCTATATTTTTACTTCCCGTGCATTAGTACTTTTCAGCCAGACATAAACAAAAAAAATTTCCACTTCCCTGATACGACTCTTCTTACCCAGAGCCCCTCAAAACTGAGGCTTCCCTCTATGGGCACTTCACCACAGCTGGCCTGCACCACGTAAACAAGACAATCTCCAACCTGTCTTCTTATATCCCCCAACCCATACACCGGGTGGTTTTTTTACTAAGTATCAAGCACTAGCCTACAACCGGCCAACAACAGTCATTAAATGGTTCTGCTCTCTTAATTATGTCCAGTGTGCTGGATAATATCTGTGACACACCTTAAAAGGTGAGAGACGTGATGTAATGTATCAGGGGACTCACCTAAGATCCCCAGGCTCTAGACCCACTGCTGCTGCTCCCTTCCCCTTCTGACCTGTATCCACTGCCCCTACGGTTCTCAGGCAGTATCCGGGGCAGCTACGGGTCCTTCCATGCCTCTCCGGGTCCTCGCTTCGTCTCTCTCCTTCCTCTGTCCTCCATCACTTCCCCTCTTGCTCCAACTCCAGCCTCCCTTGGGACCGGACTCTCACTCCGGTCCCATCTTGCACCAACACACACTCCCAGGTCACGCCCCAGGCACCAAAAGCTCCGCTGCAAGAAACACCCGGACCCCGCGCCTTCTCACTCAGGGTCGAGGTAGGCTCCCTCCAGGATTAGGGCATCACTTTTCCCCGCTAGTAGGCCGGCGTCCGTAGCCTCCCGTCATGCTGCTACGGCGTCATGCTGCAGCTCCTCCCCCCATTATTTGAAGGTTTTATTTGGTTCCTTTGGTGTTTTAGCTGCTTCTTTTAAGATCGCTCACTTTCTTTTAGACTTTTGCTATAATTACACAAACTAGTTCTTTTTTCTGTACCTCTGATTACTCTGTGGACTGAGATCTGCAGTGTTTGTAGCAGTACTTACTGGTGAACTTCGGTGTTTTACGGCAATCATAAAGTACAATGCTTCTCTAAGGAAACCACTGTCATTTTCTGGATGGACTTCAATTTTCCAAGTAGAATAAGCCACAACGAGACATTGGATTTAAGGAATCATGTATAATAATACACAATAGAGAGTCCCAATTTTTTTTTAAATTCAACACAAGACAACTGAGTTTTTTTGCAGCTGAATCTATTTTTCTGATCAGGCGCCAGTTAAAAAGGTAATATTACTTTAGAATAACATTTTGGGGTGTGTGCTCAGAAATCAAATGTTTGTTGATGACAAAGTGTGCTATAAAAAGCAGTGTTACATTGCAGGGACCTAACATACTGTATTTGAAAATTACTCAGTAAATGGTATCTTTTTCAAATTGCTTTCATCATTCAGAGATGTAACATTTACACACTTATTGTGACAGATTGCAGCAATATGAAGAGGCTGTTCAGGCATTTAACCAGGTGTTGCAGCTAAACCCCTTGTCTCCGGAAGGATACATTGGCCGTGGCAATGCTTACATGGAATATGGCCATAAAGAGGGATTCAGATATGCTCTGATGGATTTTGTAAAGGCTCTTCACTTGAATCCTATGTGCATTCCTGCTCGGATTTGCCTGGGTTATAATTTACAGGTAAGATATATCTATATGGCTGTTATTCCCTAATGTAGTCTTTTGTGAAGACAGGTGCATTTCAAGTATCACTGTTTGCCTTATTAAAATGCACAGTATATGCTGATGTCTAACTGGAACCAATCAGATTCAAACTATAATCTGTGTAAAGCAGTCTAGGAGACAAAAAATAAAAACTTGATTGCCCCCTGTAGACATCACTTACATTTGTTTGGATAAGTCACCAATTAATTTATATGTGACATTTACAGTTTAACATAGGAAGAATAATCATTAGCTAACCGTTTAACACCATTGATGTCTCATCTAATACATCAGGAACAGGTGGGGATTATCACATGTAGAGGAGCTGGGGATAACACCAAGAGAACTATTTCTTTGATACATTATGCCCAAACACATTCAATTCCATTTTGTTTAATATCTGTCTTTGCTGAAAAAGCTTTTGACAGAGTTAATTGGTGTTTCTTACATTCTATATTGTTACATGCAGACTTCCCTACTGAGTTTTTTTTTTTTAAATAATTGGCTCTATACACAACACAAAACAGGGCTAGAGTGAATGGAGCCATGTCGGCACCATTGGAGGTTAAAAATGGGACTAGACAAAGATGACAATTGTCTCCTAACTTATATATTTTGGCAATGGAGCATCTGGCAAACTCCATACGCCAAAATAATTCTATTCCGGGTATTGCAATTGGAGAGCACACACATAAGGTAGGATTGTTTGCTGCTGATTTATTGATATATCTGTCTAACCCTAGGGTAGTCCGCCCTTCTCTCGTGCAAGAATTTAACCACTTGCCTACCAGGAACTTATACCCCCTTCCTGCCCAGGCCAATTTTCAGCTTTCAGTGCTGTCACACTTTGAATGAAAATTGTGCGGTCATGCAACATTGTACCCATTAGAAATTTTTATCATTTTTTTCACACAAATAGAGCTTTCTTTTGGTGGTATTTACTTGCCACTGTGTGTTTTATTTTTTGCGCTATAAACAAAAAAGAGCAAAAAAAAGCGCTGTGACAGCGCGAGGAAGGTGCGGCCAATAACCGGCAACTGTATTTACCCAGTGATCTGCTGTGTCATTGGACACAGCTGATCACGTGGTAAAAGGCCACTGTTGTAACGTAACCGGACCTAGACTGCACTAGGGCATTTCCGTTAGCCTCCCGATTCCGTGTCTGAACACAGATCCACGGATACCACCGCTGGCCATACAAGAGGAGACAGCACCAGACTTGTATGAAAGACAGGAAATAGACTGCTTTATTTTAACATAGATACAAGATATATACACAGGGCAATACATCCAGTAACAGGAAACACATCAGCAGGCCGTCCCATCAGGGGGAAGGACTTCCGAAAACATTACATCCCATAATAGTTTGCTTCCAAGCAAGACACACAATAGAACAATGGGATGCACCACCTGGCAGTGAACAATGAACAACCCCCACACCAATACACAAACATTACATCCCATAATAGTTTGCTAGAACAATGGGATACAGCCGCATGGCAGTGAACAATGAACAACCCCCCACCCCAATATTAGAACATTTCACCCTGTACCCCTAACAGGCACAAGGTGACTTACACATAATAGGATCATGGGGAGCTGAGGCAGGGGTCCCCCCACCCCCAAAAGTCACTCCCATCACAACTGTGATTGATCGTTTACCGTATCACGTGATCATCTTTGTCCATAGAACACAGCGATCACCGGCAGAGCCGGGTGTGCACCACTGGGGGCGTGTTCTGGAATGATGTCCATGGACGCCGTCCCAGGATTACACAACTGCGCTGTAGCCGTGCTTGTAGCCGTGACCTGTCCTGCACCTGTCCCCTTGGCGGCAGTGGGCAGAAGCCAAAAACCGGAAGTTGTAAACCGGAACTCGGCTTCACAATGAGGCTTGGAGCGCAGGTGCAGTCTCTTCATGCTTCATCTGTGCTCACCGCTCGCAGCCGCTCGCCACAGAGGAATTTCTCCTCGCATTTGGCGAGCAGGCGAGCGGCTTTTTCAAGCCCTGTCATAAAATATTAAATTTAGCACACATATTGAATTGGTTTGATGCTTTCCACACTAAGTTGGGGGTTGCAATACAACGCGAGCACAATAACTACGTGACCCTAGTTGCCCTCTTCAGTAGTGCCCCCTCCTATAAAGTTATCCTTTTTTACACTAATGGTTTTGATGACATGGAAACGGCTTTCCAGTGATTACCATCTGTTAAATGGGCCCTATACTATACTAGGGAATCCAGAATCTCCCCCAGCATGTGAAACTGCATCTTTTTTGCACTGGCAAATAATCGAACCTTCAGACATATTTCAATGCTTACAAGGGAGGGATCTACAATCACTCTCCTAATTATTCCAAATATAGCATTCTACAATGGTGCCGAGAAGAGCTTGGATGCAATATTTCCAGTGAAAACATTTTGTTGACTTTATTGCGATTCATGAGCAATTATATCACTCACCTACTTAATATGAGCAGATATGTATTTCAAGTGAAATCCCAGCACATACACTCTCTTTTTTACATAACCTCCTTCAGTCTAACCAACAAAACAAGGAATTTCCTCCAGTGGACTTTTATGCAGCAATACACAACATCTTTCATAAAATCCTTATGTTTTATTGCACAGAGCATATATGTATGAATTAAAATCGTCACAAAAGCACCAGGAAAAAAAAACTGAGAGTAAGGCAGAGAAATATTATGTACTGTATTCTACCGATCAATCTCCAACACGTTTCAATTGTACTTAACAGTCTTCATCAGGGGCAGCAGGAGTACTTCTACAAAAATGATGAACATCAAATAATGACAAAGCATATACACAAATGAAAATCAAAACACAATAGTATAATATTGGTCCCAAGACTTGCAGAGTCACCCAAAATTACATTCAGGAGGCAGTGTTCCAGGGTCACCAGAGGGCATCCACCAGGCAGTATATCCCCACAGCCAAGCCCATAAGGGGTCACTGTATTTGATTGCTGGGGTCCCAGTAGGCCAAAACTCACAGCAGAAAGACCTATAATTGATGATACATAGTTACAATTAACCCAACCCACTATATTCATAGGTCAAAGAAAGCAATTTCATTCAAAATATTGGACCAAAATGTTTTCTTAGACCTCCAGGTACAAAGGGGGGACCCATGTGTGGTTTGCAATTATAAAATATGTTGACTTATAAAGCATAAAACATAGTATAAATAGTGTACGGCCAACAGTTTCAAACGGTCTGAGAACTAAGGGGCCAATAAACAACATCCTATACTCACAGGGATATGAGTCTCCTACACAGCAGATCTCGCCAGACTGAACTGACCAGAGCAGAGACCAAGTGGGTGGAACTAGTGGTTTAAATAGGGCTTACCATAAAATAATAATGACATCATGGCCAACAGCTGTGAGGGGAGAACTGACCAGCCCATCAAGCAAATCATGCCACCATTGCGTCAACATATGCCAAAATGTTGCTGAACATATAACCCCATCGATGTCCCTAGGGGGGACCCAAAAGCCGACTGGCGATTTGGCCAGCAATAATACACTAGTGTGGTGACGCAGCCACGCACGTGTGGTGCCACATCAGTAACGCACAGACCGAAATCCAAAGACGCCACAGCTGCGGCAACAGTATCACCCTGCACACATTCAAGACAAGAAAGCTCCTAATAAAAGGGGCAACTCTACCATCATGGAGGAGCGGAACGGTATCAGGAGAGAATAAGAGCAGGCAGATGCCCAACCACCGTCCCAGGGCAGGAACACAGGGAACAGGGCTCGGGTGACCCCCAAAGCAACCCGCAAAGGAAAAAACCCCTCCTGAAAAGAAAAAACAAACCAAAAGTTATATTATTGTCAAATAAAGTAATAGAACAAAACATGATAACAAATAATGACAACAAGAAAACAAACAAGTATAACATAAGAGGACAGAGAAAAATGGGAAAACGCAATACACTTTAATCTGTTTTGCCAGATAAAAAACCTTTTAGAAATGGTTTATATGTGATAGTATTATTTAGGCCCGGGAAAAGGTGGCCTTTAGCCTGGAAATCCTTTCCTGTTCTAAATGAAGAAGAGATTTGCTCCCATCTCCATTCTTTAAAGGAATGTGTATTTGATCCAAATCTGTGAATTTCACCTTGGGGAATTGATAATTGTGGGAATGGGCAACATGTCTACCAATGGGAACATATAAATATTAAATTTTCATACTTTGAATGTGTTTATACATGCGACGTCAACATTCTTGTTTCATTTTACCGACATAAAAATTCACATGACAGTAAATAAACCACTCTCCTCATTTGACAATTGGTAAAGTGGCGTAATTTAATGGTCTCCCCCATTGGGTAGTGTTATTACTCTTCTTCCAACCATATAAGGGCAGTATGAACAGCTACCACAGGGATACATGCCTGGATACAAACAGGGTTCCTGACATTTTTTCCCCCCTAAATTCACTTTCAATTAATCTAATATTTTAAGGAGTTAGATCCCCTAACTGTGATGGATGGAATTGCACTGATAAATTGGTTAAGAGTGGGGTCATCAGTTAGAATTGAACAATGTTTCTTTAAAATCTTTCCTCTTTGAGAAGCTATTTTTATTCTCTACCAGCAAGTTTCTACAGTTGCTGCAGAGCTATTGGGGCTCATTTTTGCAGCTTCCAGATTTGCTAATCCTTGGCTTAGTCTTGGAGACTGTACATGCTGTGGTGGGTCAGGGATCTGGCCATTATTTGAGCCTAGTTTTGCTTGTTAGAGGTTAATATCAGGAGCAACGACTGCACCGCTTTCTGGCAGCAGGTGAGGGTGCAGTGCCACATTTGCCTCCATTGGACGTCTCATTGCCCTGAGAACAGACACCTTCCCCCCCTCCACACAACCCTATCCCTCACCATGTTTCCTGGACACCATGGGTCCTGGACTGGAATGGTGAGTGTCACTGTATAGAAGTAAAGGAAGACTG